GGGGGTCAAGAGATAATTATTTACTTTGGATGTTATCAAAACAAGTAAAATAGTATCAGTCGGTCAAACTGTTGACCCTCTATGGGGGAGGTTCCGGAGCAGTTGACCAATTCGTATCTGACCTTAGACTGATAAAAATATTTCAACGTGCCAGATTTGGACTATATCGACTACTTCCTATACCTTATATGAGATATGTACAAATTTTTGGAAAATGTGGAAATATTCGTGGGGTAACAGATATAGCGGACCGAAGTATTCCATTTTTATACACCATCTAATACAGATAAAAAACATTGGTATGTGCAAAATTTGATGGAAATCGAACATTTATGTCCAATTTTATGCGAAATCATAAATTTCGACAAATAACATATTTATATCAAATTTCTGGTCAAGAGAAATATTTATGACAGATATAAGTATTGGAAATTGTGACCCTTTGTGGGTGAGGTACCAGAAGGGGGTGACAGATATAAATCATCTTCACAACGGATGTTGTGTTAGCAAAAGAAGAGATGCCAGAAGAAATGTCCCGATCTCTACCATATTTATAACAGATCTTGTGTTTATATTGAGATGTGCCTGCTCTGAATGAAATCGGATGTTAATTTCGTCTTTTATGAGCTTCATGAATATTCAAAATGTTGACTCTTTGTGGGGGAGGTACCAAAAGGAGTGGACCGATATATTCCATCTTCACACTAGCCCTTGGATTAATAAAAATATTGATATGTGTGTAAATTGAAGACAATCGGACTTATAATTATTCAACATTTTGAGGTACTTGATGGAGTGGACCGATATTGTCCATTTTCGCACCTAGCAAAGTTAGAGTAAAATCGGATTATCCTTTCTCTTTCTGTGCAGTAAATTGTTTTCTTTAAAAATGTTGACATTTTGTGTGGGAGGTACCAAACAAGGTGGACCGATATTGCCCATCTCCGAACATGATCTAAGTTTGACAATAATATTACGATGTACCAAGTTTTAATCAAATTGGATATTTCCTTCGAGAGTTATTGTGCGCACCAGCCAGCCAGACAGACTGACGGACGGACATCGCTAGACTGAAACGGATTTGGTCCAAAGTGACCTTAGACCCTAGGTCGTTATTTCAATACAGGGTGAGATAAAAAAACTGCAACAAAGTCAAACGCCATAATTTTTACATTTGTTGTAATTTTATTGAATGAAAGACAAAAATGTCGCAAATAGCATTATCACAATTTTAGAATAAGTTTAGATTTGTTCGAATTGGTCACCTATGGCACGAATTATGGCCTTCAAATGGCGTGCTCAAGTCTTTTATACACCCTCCAGAATATTTTCGCGATAATATTCGTCATTTATTCTGATGCCACGGTCGATTAATACGAGCGGAGAGCGACCATAGGCTTTTGTACGCTTGTAAACAATATAATGAGCTGTCATTGGAATAATTTTAACAGCTGTCGGACGAGTGGTTTAGAAATGACAGCAGTCTGAAGTTTTTTCATCTCACCCTGTATGTAACTTATGGGTTCTCCCACGATCCTATATCGTGTATTTTCTGAGGGAAGTTAAACTAAAAAGTGAGAAACTGAAATATAAAATTGCCGATGATTTGTTTGGATACTGTGATCAAAACCATCAGCATACCTAAATTCAGGAGATGCTCTTTAATGGAGGCTATAGCAAAACTTGGTCCTCGGACAAGAGAAAACAAAGACTTTCCGAAAACAACATTTCCAATATTTAGTACCCAAATATATACCGTTATAAATAACGAATAACATACGGTACCGTAGCATGGGTGTTAAACAAAATGTATATAGAGGGTATAAAAATCGTTATCAATATTAATGTTCATTAACATTTTCCAAACGGAATTAAAAAATCAAATTTCCCAATTCTCTGGCAATTCGAAAGTAGTATATTAGTGCAGTATATATTCGACAGTACCAGCCACGACCTGTAACGAAAAAATTAATCCTCTTAGTGATTTTAAACTTAAAAAAAAACTCCATCTACCTATGAGTATTGTTTTGTTAGGTGCACAGCGCAAAGGCATCGATAAAACTCTATAGATTAAAATACAACTATTTGCAAAAAATATAAACAAATATTACGTAATAATTTTTAAGTAAACACAAAACAAAACGAATTGCTTATTTCTTCTGTTTTGTTCCAACAAATATTCACTATCATCAAAGCGACAAGCCAGCTCTTTTTTGCAAAAATAAAAAAACGCTATTCAAGTGTTTTACCGGCTATTTTGTTGTTGCTAGAAAGTGTGCTCGTGTCTACATCGAAATAAAATTAAAACCAAAACAAAATAATACATATGTATAAGTAGCTATGCGTCATATCGGACAAATGGAATTTGCCCTCGCAACAGACTTCAGAATTTGTTTGCATGTTAAATGCAGAATCAAAACCAGACGATTGGCTTGTCAGACAGAACGACGAATGAATGCTGTTGATATGGATTAATTAGACCAACCTTTGTGATGATAAGCGAGATGCACAACAGTTCATTAATACATTCGAATGTTATCGAAACAGAATATAATAGTGGCGTGTTCTTTTTAATAATCAGCGTAGAGATAGGGAGAGAGAGAGAGATCATCCACTTATAATAATATTTAAGAGTGGTAATATTTGGCACATTCTAGATTTTGACAAGTAATTTAAACAGGGATCACACATTATAGGCTATCAAAATAAGCAGTAGCTGAATCGGGATATTTTGGTTTGCTTCTGTTGGAAAAATTATCGTCTATCAAAGGACACTGACAGAATTTGGATTATGCTTTTGACATAAAGCCTCACCTGAGATCATCGGTGATTTCAAGCATAACATAGTTTTTTCTAAAGCTGAGGTGAAAGTTTTAAACAACTAAAACTAGAATTTCGTACGCGTAGACAGCTTTGGATTCGCCTGTAAAATAAATTACGAAGTTTTTTTGAGGACGGTGAGGGGAGGTTTAGCCGTTGTTGAATCATCTATAAATTAAAATCCGCATCCTTCTAAGCGAGAAAAAGCAAAAAAGACCTGCATAGGCAAGTTTTATCATAGGCCGTTACAATATTCAAATGCCAAACTTGAAAATAATTCGATAAATAATACCGAATATCGGGAGGTACCATTATATGTGGGCTATACCAAAACGTGGACCTGCACAGACAACTTTCTGTCGCTGAGATCATCAAAAAACCGAATATCGGGAGGTACAGTTATATGAGGGCTATACGAAGACGCGGACCTGCACAGATAATTGTCTGTCATAGACTGTAGTATCCATTACGAACTTCAAATACCAAATTTGAAACATTTCCGGTGAATAATATCGCTAAAATTATCAAAATACCGAATATCGGGAGTTACCGCTACAAGGGGGCTATACGAAATTTCTGTCATAGACTGTAATATCCATTATGAACTTCAAATACTAAATTTGAAACAATTCCGGTGAATAATGTCGCTAAGATCATTAAAATACCGAAAATAGGGAGATACAATTATATGGGGGATATACCAAAACGTGGATCTACATGGTCCATTTTCAATACCAAAAGTCCTGCAGACATAATATACATTTGAGTAAAATTTTATCAACCTACTGCAGTTCGTTCGGAAGCTAGAGTGATTTCCACAGACAGTCTGACGGATAGACGGACCGACATGGCTAAATCGACATAGAATTTTATGCTGATCAAGAATATATATACTTTGTATATTTCGAGGTGTTACAAACGGAATGACGAACTTAATATACCCTCCTTACTATGGTGGAGGGTATAATTAAAAGTAGCAACAAAGTGCTCAAGGCGATAGCCGGCATGGCTTGCCGGGTACAGACCAGAAGGAGACCTAATTGACCTCTTATAACGCGATAGGTTGATCTGCGGCCCAGTGTAGTATGCGAATGCAAGTGCTATGCAGTAGAAAAATTACCAGCCCTGTCAGAATGCTGCCCTGAGAATTGCAACAGACGACGCCAGTGGATCATCTTCATAAGGCGGCGAACATCCTTCTCGTACGGCAACATAACCATACGTTCCGGATGGTGCAGCCGTGTCAATTCGTATACAAGATGTACGAAACGAAGGCCCGACGCACAATACCCTACATAGCCAAAACTACCTTACTCACTCTAGAAGATTTTTGGTTACAGCGAAGGTAGCCGAAATTTTAAACATCGGATTTCTTCTTTCGTATTGAAGAACGGATTTCTAAATGCTTATGAATTTAAATGCTTTTTCTACGAGAGACCTGCGGCTTTGATTGGCTTCTCCTTTGGAAATAGGTCGGGAATTTCCCCTGGACGCTTAACACATTTTATAGCCTATACATTCGATTGTCGATTACAGTACCTTACGCTGTAATCCTTCCGAGTGCAGTAGTCGCTTCCCCACCGAATTAAGTTTATATTTGACATAGTTGGAGGTTGTTAGATACTTGTAATACTATCTCAAATAAGTAAAGGTGAGGGTACATAAGCATCTTGGTATCATGGCTAGGCACATTAAGGTCAAATTATAAGGGGAAATGACAGTAGGATTCGAGTGCAGTTTTAGCATCCCTTTGTGATATGTCACTAAATATGCCATGTGAAAACTTCAAGCCGCTTATATACCCACACCTTAAGGAAAATTTACTTTTTTAAAGAAGCTTTAGTCACGTAGTTCGACATGCCCCGGCCGAAAGACGTTTTTGATGCCAATATTGCATTGGTTGGCCTTACCAATACTGGAAATATGCCAGGTAATAACGAAACATTAGGGACCAATAATTAGGAGAGTATGGACTTCCCCAAGAAAATCATATCGACAGGTGGCCTACTTGTTCTTACAGAATTGTATGTATATAATATCCAAATAGCAATACATACATGTTCTTTGCCCACTTCAATTATCGATAAACCGATCAAAGCAAACTTACTTGGAAGAAACATATGAAATAACTTATAATATTTTAATGATATGTCTATAATTTGAATGGGATCAATACTTACGGTTCTTTTAAAACGGGAGCAATTTTATACAAACAATCCAAGAACTGTTGATCCAATGACCATACGCTCGGTTTCAGCGGTTGACTGTTAACGTTCAAAATGCGAAATAGAATGCAAAGGATCACGGCTATTGCCGTCAGGAATGCTGTTGACATCGTGATTAAACTTTGGACTAAGTGTTGGCGGTCAAAGATGTTACCGAGTGCGTGAGGAAATTCGGCAAAGACTTGTTGCAGAAACTGTGATTGTAGTAAACGGTCATAGAGATAAGAACACTGTAACAGCGGATACCAAAGGAACATGCAGGTTGGTTGTGTTCAGGGGAATGCGGGAAATGTTTGGGATGAAAAAAAATAATTGAAAATTAAACAACAAAAAAAATCAAGGTCAATGTATAAAATAAAACCAAATAACAAAAACAACAAAAAATAAAGGTCCTTTCAAGGATGTATATAAAAACGAAAGGTAAATGAGCCGGAAGAAAGGGGAGTGGGACAATTTATGTAAATGTAAGGTGGAAACTTTGAGGAAACACACCAGCTGTTTGCGCAAAGTTAATAACCCATCGACCGCCAAGCCAATTGATGAAATTTTGGAAAGTTTAGAACACACACAAAGGAACAAATGGGGCTGCTTATGTGTTGTAGTTGTGATATTTGCAATTTAAAAATTCTCGGAATTTCTATTTTGTTTTATTTTATTTATTTAAATTTCAAAGATTATTAGTTTGCAACAAATTACGACCATTTTACACCACTTCGTTTCGTTGTTATCTATCGTTTTGTTGTTGCTTTATTCTGTTGCGGTGACACACTTCAATTTGCAAATTTTGTATTTTTGTTTTTATTGTTGTTGTTGTGGTTTTTATGATGTTGTGTATCTCTCAATCGGCCTGAGTTGATGTTATGGAGAGTGTGTGAGTATATGTTTGTTTTTATTTTTATCTATGTATGTTTGTTGTGTTTTTCTTCTCACTTCTTTCTTTCTCTCGCTCACTTACTTTATTCTGCTTGGAGTGATTTATGTTTCACTAACTAATGCGTATTGAAAACTCTTGTAATTTTTCAACTTTTTCTGTTCCAGAAAGTTCTTTGAAAATTTCGTTAAGTTTTACTTTTTGCACAAACAAATCTTCTAATCCGCTATGAACACATAAACCGTTAATTTTGTTGTTACGTTTTTTTCTTTGATATTGTCGTTGGTTTATTATTTTTTATAATCACTGATTGTTTTTTTTTAATTTTTGTCTGTTTATTGTTATTATTTTTGTTTTATTTTCCTATTCGCGTTTAGGAACCGCGTATGTTGGTCTCTGCTCTCAGTCTATAATATGAATGCTCTGCTTTTGAAATGCTGCGTTTAATGGAATTGAAGTAATTGAATACAGTGACGGCGACAGAGATTTGCTGACAGTAGAGAAGTAAATGTCACAAACAGCTGATTAAATAAGTTTGTGTAATAGGTCGCTTCATCATGTGGTATCCGTGGGAACTGGAAATTTCGAATTTTCTGGTAGCAATTCTTTTTGTAGGAGAGAAACGTAAGTGAAATGGAAAATTCTAGTTCTTGCAATTTTCTGGCAATTCTTTTTTTGCTTTTATTTTTATACAAAAATATGATTACAAATAAAACAAAGGCAATGATGAAAAAGAAAATTGTTGCACCGACATGTTACAGGAACGACTTCTGAACGAAAGTGGTTATCTGTCTGTTGAAATCACGATACAGTCCACATTATTTGACGCAGAGTCAAATACCAAAAATTGGTATTTATAGGTCATAATGGGTTCTAGCTCCAGTGGCGGAACATTTTATATATAAGCCCCCATATAAGGGTACCTCCCGATATTCGGTATTTCGTAAAGCCCCTATATAAGGGTACATCCCGATATTCGGCATTCTGATGATCTTACCTACATTTTTCCACGGATTTGTCTAAAAATTGGTATTTGCAGTTCGTAATAGGTTCTAGCTCCGGTAGCAGAACATTGAATATTTAGGTCCGCGTTTTCCCATAGCGCACATATAACTATGGCTCAATAAGTAAGGTTGCTCAACTTCAAAGAAACTAGAAAAATTCAACCCTGTGCTGCAGTCTTATAGTGTCAAATATACTTTTAAATATGCAACTATTGGTTTTGTTTATTATTATTTTTTTAACAAAATTCTCATATTGGGGAAAACCCACTCATGACATATCATAAAGGGATGCCGGAGCCGCACTGTCGTTTCCCTTTATAATTTGACATTCATATGCCTATCCATGACGCCTTATGCTTATGTACCCTGTTTTCCTCCAAAAGATATATTTCATCATTAATTTTACAATTTTCATTCATTTTTTTAATATATTCTTATGTTTTTAAATTCTGTAGGAGAGACACATGCCATTTTTTTAAATAAAAAAATTTAAAAAATTTTACTCGGATGATGGAGAAAACAAAATTTACTTTCGTTTAAATGCACATACACCATTCAACATTATAGGTCTATTCCAAAAAATGTAAAAGTTTTTACTACGATTTTCTCATTATTATGTCGAAAAAAATGGCTAAAAATTGTAGTTTCTTGCAGGTTCTGGAGCAGAGCATATATTTTCCATTCATCGTTTTTATTCTTTTTAAAAATTTTTTAAATTTTTTACATTTTTTTTATTTTGTATTTTAAAATGTCATAATTTATTTTTGGGTAAAAATAGTAATAATTATTTATCGAACAAGGAATAGAGAGATAATCACGTGTCATGGGAACTTAGGGTGCAAGTACATAAAAAGCTTGAAGTCATGGCTAGGCATATTAATGTCAAATTATAATGGAAAACGACGGCAGTATTTTAGTGCGGCTCTGTAATCCCTTTGTGAAATGTTACAAAATATGCTTAGCCATGACTTCAAGCTTCTTATGTACTTAGCCCTTTAGCATTACAAGAATCTACTAGTTTTACAATTTTTTTATATCATAAAGGAAACGATGTGGTTAAAAGGCCCATGAGAACATGGTATTGCTCATGGTAAAATTCATGGTAAAAGAATACAGGTAGATGCATCAACGCTTGGGAACATAGTTATACCCATGGTAGAAGAATATAGGTAGACGCGTCGACACAGCTGCTGGGACAATGAACTGTCAAACCAATTTTGGAATTGAAAATGTTGAATGAAAAATTATTTAAATTTGTAAAAATTGCTGAAAAACGCGAATTATAATAGCCTCCGAATGACGTAGTATAAGAAAACATATAACAATCTACTTAAATTTGAAAAAACATTTAATTTTTTTTTGACATATCAATGCTCCCAAGCGTTGATGCATCTACCTATATTCTTCTGCCATGGTTATACCAAAGACTTTGAAATGTTTCTTCAAAAATAAGAAGATTTGTATATGTTTTCCTATACGACGCCAATCGGAGGTTGTTATGATATGCATTTTTAACAATTTTTACAAATTTGAATAATTTTTCATTCAAAAATTTCAATTCCAAAATTGGTTTGACAGTTTATTGTCCCAGCAGTTGTGTCGATGCGACTACCTGTATTCTTCTACCATGATACAATAAGGATGTAACAGCGCATTTATACTTGTCATACCCACTACCATTCTATGGAGGGTATCATGGTAGAAAAATACAGGTAGATGCATCAACGCTTGGGAGCATTGATCTGTCAACATTTTTTAAATTTCTTTTCAAATATAAGTAGATTTTTATATGTTTTCTTATACGACGTCATTCCGAGGATATTATAATACTCGTTTTTCAGCAATTTTTACAAATTTAAATAATATTTCATTCAACATTTTCAATTCCAAATTTGGTTTGACAGTTCACTGTCCTAGCAGCTGTGTCGATGCGTCTACCTATATTCTTCTACCATGGGAGGGTATATTAGCTTTGTCATTCCGTTTGTAACTACTCGAAATATTAATGATAGACCCTACAAAGTATATATTCTGTCCGTCTGTCTGTGCGTCTCTCTGCCTGTCTGTGTTACAATATTTCGAACCAATTGAGATGTGCGGTTAAAATTTTGCACACATGTGTATTTTGTACTTCATAAACGGTACCTCTCGATATTCGGTATTTTATTGATTTTAGCGACATCATTCACCCGAAGTTTGTAATGCGTACTGCAGCTTATGCCTAAAAATGTATGCAGGTCCACGTTTTCGTAAAGCCCCCATAAAACGGTACATCCCGATATCCGGGATGATTTGATGATTTTAGCGATATCGTACACCGAATTGTTTCAAATTTTGCATTCGAAGTTTGTAATGGGTAGTACCTCCTATGACAAAGAATTTTGTATGAAGTTTCATATCTTCGTATAGTCCCCATATAACGATACCTCCGTTTATTCGGTATTTTCATGATTTTGGCGACATTATTCGCCTGTATTATTTTACATTTCGCATTTGAAAATTTTAATGGGTACTACAGCCATATTACAAAAAATACTTATGCAGGCTCAAGTCTTTGTATAGGTCCCGTTAAAAGGTCATCATTTAAAGGGTATTTTTGACATCGAATGGAACCAACAATCTTAATCGATTTCCACTAAATTTGACAGAAGTATTTTTATGATGTATGTGACCTCACTTACCAGCTATAATTGCTATAGTGTGACTTTGAGATGACCTTACTTTGAGATGACCTTACATATATATATATATATATATATATATATATATATATATATATATATATATATATATATATATATATATATCAATCAATTTGCAGCAAATTTGATGTAATCACTTCTAGGTTTATTTTGACCGAATGTACAAAAATGCATCCATTTTGGGCTGATATTACACATTTGGTGCGTAACTTGGTATACCACTACTCCTCATTGAATGGATTGATGTTATGCTCAGCATCGGAATCATCAACTCAAGCTTAGGGGAGTGCTCCGTCAGGAAATCAGTGACCAGTGGCACTACTCAAGGAGGGTCTTATCACCACTACTATGGGTTCTGGTGATAAATAATGTATTAATAGATCTGGAAAACAATAGAACTAAAGTCGTTGCTTACGCGGACGACGTAGTTCTGATGATTGCTGGGAAATTCCTGCAAACTATTTCAGACCTAATGCAGGCAGCTCTCGTTAGATTGGTGGTACTCTCTTGGGAAGGCTTCCCTTAGTAAAAACATTGACAAAGTACAAAGAGCGGCATCACTTTTAATTACAGGTGCACTCAGAAGCTCACATCAATCTGCAATGAACACCCTATTTAACTTGAAACCCTTAAGTTTATTTGTAGAGGAACAAGCTGCGAGATGTGCACTGAGACTCAATGAACTTGGTCAATGGCGTAGTCAATCTTACGGACATTCGGTCATATTGAATTATGTGGAGAACTCAGGCTAGACTTCGAAACACTGGACATCCACATACCTTGCAGAGACAAACTATTGTAGGCTTTGTCAAGACGAGGAAGAAATAGAAATTGTGGAACACTTATTCTGTCAATGTCCAACTCTTTTTAGAGTCAGACTGAGGCTCACGGGTAAGCAAACTCTGCATGATCAGTCTTCACTCTAAAATACTGATTCGTCATTTATTCTTCAGCTAGCTAGAAGACTAAAATGGCTAAGGCCAACACGATAAATTCTTCGTGGATATACCCCTTTTTAACATAAGCTTCTTTTTCTTTCTCTCTTTATTTTTACTATATCAGGATGATCACAATGGACCAGCAGGACACCGAGTGGAGCGGTGTCTTAGCAACCGCGCATCCTCTAACTTAACCTAACCTTTGGTGCGCAACAAATTGGGTGAAGATATATAAGGGAGCTATGACAATATCTGTGGTGCGATTCTCTAACTCATTTTTCGAGTTAGCGGCAAAAATCGGAATAATTAAATGTTTATAATTTCGGTAATTAACGACATTTTTCAGTAAATTAGCGACGAAATTAAAGTAGTCGCTAGGCCTACCGATAGATTCAAATATTATCAACTTTTATTTCTTTTTTATATGGAAAGTGTTCATTTGAAAGTTACCGATTTTTGTCGGTAACTCAAAGAATGAGTCAAAAAATCCCTACTGAACCGATTTTACCAAATTTCATAAAGTTCCTTCTGGGCATGATAGAATCAAGAAGGTAAAGTCATGCAATCATATCTTTAATTTTTTTTCTCATTGTCAAATTGTATATATATAAATACATGGTAAATATAAAAATCAGAGATGGGAACCAATTTTTATGCAGAGATGGTTGCGCTTATTTAAAAGGACTTTACATTCTTAATTTTATAATGCTTCTTGGCTGCATTCGGTTAAAATGTGGCAAGGGTGTTTTTAGGCTGTAACTGATCATTGTAATGAAGTGCAAATTACGTCTTTGAGATACTCAATAGGACCTATAGCTGTATCTGAACCGATTTTGACATACTTGCTTCAAGACAAAATTCGGTAGTTACTGCCAAAAAGCATTCCATTTGGGCTAATATAACACATTTGCATATATATATATATATATATATATATATATATATATATATATATATATATATATATATATATATATATATATATATATATATATATATATATATATATATATATATATATATATATATATATATATATATATATATATATATATATATATATATATATATATATATATATATATATATATATATATATATATATATAGGAGCTATGTCCGAGTCTGAATCGATGGTGTCAAAAATTTTTAAGGATATTTTTCGGATGTATTTTGCACCGAATAGCATTGGAGTGCATATTATGGATGTGGGGAACTTAAATATAAAATCGGAAAGATATATATGATAGCTATTGCTATGTCTGAACCGATTTTGACCTGAATTGACATATTTATGGCCTAAATTGGGTCGTATTTGTAATTGCTCACAAAAATACATGGACAGACGGAGGGGCAGATCGACTTAGAATGTAATTAAAAGAACTAAGACATAATACCTTGAATCACAGTGTGGTGTAGGGTATAAAAACTCATCAAAAGTGAAATCAGTGCTCGATTTGTATCAAGCTTCGCACCCTATTTGTTTTGTTGATATTGCATTAGTGTGAATATTGTACATATCGGTCAACTTTTTCTGGTTAATATTTAATTTAATTTTGAAAATATGAGGCGGACGGTGTGCACTGTTTCCCCCTAACACATATCGTAACATTTGTATCAATTTGGCCATTAAATGAGAAAGTGAGTTTTACACCAAAATTAAATCACATGCGAAGATGAGAAATTTGGTATGGTGCCTTTCTACTTTGCTTTCGTCAAATTGACATACTTTTTACTTGTTTTTGAAAACCGTTTAACCGAGGGAGTTATAAAAGGAGATCGACCGATATATTCGAAGTCGGTCTAATCCTGACAAACATAGTACAATGTTTTAGAAAGGATTTCGTTCAAAGGGACAAATAGTAAGTTTAAAGTTTACTAGACTTCGAAAATTCAGTGAATATAAATTGTTGATCCTATTGAAGGTATCTCAAATGAAACCTCATAACTGTTTGTGCATCCTCTGTAGGATTAATGTATAATAAACAAATATGTACATATTTGCCTCTAATGTAACTCAAAACATTTCTAATTAATATGGAACATCCAATGACTATGTTCTTGATATGGAAAATTATATATATTGCCTAGAAATACTCTTGTCTGATTTAGTTTATATTGACTCACACTCTCCCTACACAAATCTGTAATACAAATTCATTGAGATCTTAGGAAACTTTAAAGTCACCAAGGAAATAAACCAATTATTTAAGACAAAATATGTTTTTATCGTATTGGAAAATTATCCATATTATTATTAAAGACGTTTAAGATTTTTGTTTGTTGTTTTGTTTCGATCACAATTTCTCTTGTGTGGTTAATGTTTTACTGTTTTTTTTTATTTGGTTTTTCATTCATTTAACTATAACATTAATTGTGAACATATCCTGGACGTGGATCTTTCCAGTTGTTATGACATTTTTTGCTAGGATGTTGTTATATTTCGGGTCTAAGCTTACAGACTGAAGAATACGGTATTTCATTTAGTCATTTAACCAACGACCAAGGTACCTTCATCGGGGAATACATGAGCGGGTACTTCCAAATTCAATGGAGCAGGTCCCTTACGGATACGACCAGAGGCATCGTAGTGAGAACCGTGGCATGGGCAATAGTAGCCACCGAAATCACCGGAATTGGCAATGGGTACACAACCCAAATGTGTGCAGACACCGATGACAACCAACCATTCAGGCTTTTGCACACGTTGCTATAAACAAAAAAGTTTCAGTCAGTGGAAATGTTGTCCTATAAAATTCATTGACTTACATCATCGGTTTGAGGATCACGCAAAGTGGCTGTGGGTACACCGCGTTCAGTGGCGATTTCACTAGCGGTACGGTGACGAATGAACAATGGCTTACCACGCCATTTGAAGGTAACAGACTTGCCTTCAGGAATATCAGACAATTTGATTTCAATCTTAGCCATAGCCAAGACATCAGCAGATGCGCTCATGGAGCTAACGAAAGCGGTGACCAAACCCTTGGCGGCATAGGCACTGCCGACGGCACCAGCACCAACCAACATGTAGGAGAAGGCCTTGCGTTCTTCGGCGGTGGTATTTTTGCGATTAACATCCTTGACCGAGTCACGACGGTAGGGCGAAAAGTCGGGAGCTTGCAAGTCAGTGTGGGCCAAACGAACTTGTTGGACAGCTAAGTGAAAGACGAAAGATATAAATAAAAATATTATTTTGATCAAATTTAGAAAAAGTAGCAGTCGAGCTAATTTTCTTTTAGTTTCCGAGGCAAACATTCGTTCTTTGCCAATTTTTCACATCGCTCAGATGTTGTCATAACATTCGGGGAGTAATAACAGTAGTTTTGTTGCTCTATTGCTACCATTTCATAACCTCAAAAAATTACATAATTGAAGAAACAAATGCAAAGTTTCATGAGAAATTACTCCAGAATCCCTGGAATTTGACATTGCATTTCTTTCTTCAGCCTGTCTAGGTGTGATGTAATTCAGAAATATTCACTTGTGAGGACTGTCGAAGCTCTGGTATTGCCACAAGGAGCCTTCTTTTCCGAATTCTCAGGCACCACAGTTCTCTTACCCTGGACCGCAGTGAGGGCGGCAGGTTTCAAACCATTGGGAACAGCATGGGAGCTGGCACGCAAATAAGCACGCGACACGGCGTTAATCATTTTTCCGTATTCGTTAATAAAGTTTTCTAAAACAAAACAATTGAAAAACAATGAATTTTTCGTCCCCCAACCAAATTTTATTCGTTCGATGAGCTTACTTTTCTCCCAACAAAAAACTTTTGCCCACTTGACAGCTGACAGTTAACACAAAAATCGATAATCACACACACATACATACATGAAGGTACTTTTGACATTCAGAACAGGGTGTTTCAACGAATGCGAATTAAAATTGTCGATAATTGGGTGTAACTTAAAATTCAACGTAAAAGTGTAAAAGAAATTGTGAATATATGCTCTGTTCCAGAATAACAAGAATAAGTCTGTTCCAGAACTACAAGAATGTAAAAGTTTTTATTACGATAACAAATTTTCGCTTTATGATATCGAAAAAAATTGCAACACTAGTTGATCCTTCGCAGAGCAGAGCAAATGTAAAAATATTTACTACCATGGTACAATAAAAAAAGTAAGGTAAAGCTATCAGCTGATTACATTTTTTTCTAAGTGTGCCCGACTTCTGCCAATTTTGCGTATATATTTATTGTTTTGAAAAATAAAAACGAAATATTTTTAAAATCAATGATTGGTAGATGCGTACATTGCGCAGTGCTTATGAAATATATTTGTCGGTTTTGGCATGGACTTAAAAGATTGAAAAGTTAAGATCACATTTTTGGAAGAAAATCTAGGCATTTCATTCATTTAAAGTGCTATTCAACTCATTAAAAAAAGAGGAAAAATATAGAAAAAAAGACAAAAAATTAAAGCAACTTGGTGCATATAATTTTGAATGGACAGGAAGCGGCCATAGACTTATGGTTGTATTTCTGTAGTTTACGAGGCTTTCCTACCTCCATATTGTACCATATTTACTACGATAGCCGAACTTTATGATATCGAAAAAATACAAAAGTAGTGGATTTTTGCAGGTTCTGCAACAGAGCAATATTTCTATACTCTAGTACTTTTAACATTTTTATGAACTAGTAAAACTAGCGGGCAAAAAGAATAGTAAACATATAACTACTTTTTCTAGGTAATTTTTCCGATCCCATATTTCATGGGTAAATCCATGGTAAAATGAAGAAGATAAAGTCATCAAAAGGAACTATCTCGTTTCCTTTGGCTTTTTTTTTTTTGAATAAAAAAGAAAGTAATTTTAAATTATTCCAAATTTAGAGCCAACAGAAATTCATATTTTCCACGTTAAATGGGCAACAAAATGTATAATTTTGGGATAAAACAATATTGTGCTTCTATCTCGGATTCAATTTTGTGGGAAAAGCCTAATATTTCATTCATGTTATGTGGGTATTCCCCAAAGAGTAATTTTGTGAAAAAAATGTAAAATAAACAAAACCATTTGTTGCATGTTTAAAAGTATATTTGACACAATAAGGACCAGTACAGAGTTGCATTTTCCTACTTTCTTGGAAGTTGAGCAACCTGCTATATTGAGCCATGATTCGGAGTTTGTTATTTTTGGTGTGCACTGCAAGAGTTTAAAAAGTTTTTACTACAATTACCGATTTTCCCTTATCGAAAAAAATGGCAAAAACCCTTTCAGGTTCTTGAACCGAGCATGTTGTTACATTCGGCCTACTCGGCGTTATGGTGGGGTTCCGCACTAGCTCAGGAGGGAGCGGTTAATCCAGGGGGTTCTCAACCCTGCCACCATCAACCCTAGGGAATAAATTTAGCACAACATATTATTTCTTTAGACAATTAGACATTAAGCTTATTTATTAGAATCATTATCGTTCTCTTAAAACTAATTTCAACACGAACACATAAAAAAAACTGGATTATTAATACCCGAACGAAAAAGAAAAAATTGTGAGTCAATACTCAGATTACCTTTTTTATTACCCTGCTAGAAGCGCTAATTTTGGCCAATACAAGTACTTTAATTTTCTGCCTAAAGGAGCTCACTTAGACGAATCTTTTGGGCATTTCAAATCCTTGTCCCAAACAGAAAAATCGAAATTTTCTAGCTGTAAAATTTTGAGGCAACCCTACACTCACTAAAAATAAGATTTAATGGGCATTAATTTTCCTCACATTTGTATCTTAAGCACTATTTATCTAACTACAAACAATACGTTTAACTTATATACTAAACTACACACTAACAAACAAATATTTTTTATAGCTTCTTTTTTTTCTTTTGGTCAAATTCGGATTAATTGATGAATTTCATATTTTTTTCTTTTTTCAGTGGTGTTTCCGTCAAAGGAAAAGGAACTTCATGTGACTTTTTCAGCGGGATTTGGCTTTCTTTCTTTTCTTTGGTAAGTAACTTAAATTTTGAATTACATTACCTTCACAACGGCATACTTAGGCCACTTTTTATCTTCTTTTTACAGATTTTTAGGTGGGATCTACTGGTTAGCTTCCCGGATTGGTACTGTTGCCTGTTCCAAGGGCTATCCACTGGCAGTTTCCCAGGTCTTTTGGCCGTTTCCAGAACCTTTTCGTTGCCTGGAACCCCTGTGCCGCACCTGGCGATACAAAAATAATTGTTGGGGATGCCCGCTTCTTTTTCGTCCAAGTCGGATGGCGTTGTCCAATTGTGGATTTATGCGCGGCGTTATTCCTAAATAGAACACAAAAACTTAACACAACACATCCGACATAACATCACTTACAAATCAACACTTACAAATTGTTTAGATACGCCACACAAATAAAACAATAAAACACACAAATTGTAACTGCCAATTTAGTATTTCCTTTTTCTATTCACAAAAAAAACATTTAAAAATTGACTGAACTGTTTCTGTTCCACACCACTTTGAAATAATGGCGCTTTTAGCCCTCTCTGTGCTTTATATACGGCCACCAAGGACGCTCAACCAAACTTTCCCTCTTTTCCAAGATTTTCCCACAATTTCCCTGACATTTATTATTTACCTTTATCAGGTGTTCTACCTACCCACTATTATCCCCAGTGTTGTATTTTTGCAACACGTCTCTCATGTTGTACAATACACAACATGAAACTTGGCATCACTTTTTAAAATTTAGCCGGCCGCCCTGTGTATCCGGTTCTCTTTTTTGGCTGGCGTTCAGCACGTTCGGTGCATTAAATTGCACATCCAAAAGTGTTAGTTCCAGCTGCTGTGTCAATGCAGCTACCAGTATTATTTTATCATCCGAATGAAATTATTGTTTTTCTGTAAAGAACCATTTTATTATTTATTATTTTACAATATTCATTCATGTTTTCAACCTTTTCTGTAAATGTTGACATATTGAATATATTTTTGTGTGTTTTCTGTTTTTTTTTTTTTTTTTTTTGCTGGAGAGAAACTTGTCAGTCTATTTTTTGCCAATGCAACATTTTTGAAAATAGTTCCATTTATATTTCCAGCTTTTCTCTCCCATCCGAGGTACCCATTTTGCCCACGAGTTGAAATTTCCACAGAAAACTGGAGACAAAAAAATATGTTCAAAATGTCAACATTAACACAAAAAGTTGAAAATAATAAATCATTGGGAGAAAACAATAATTTATTTTATTCATATTAGTGAGAATTTCATGTATTTTCGTATAAAAAAGGAATTATTTTACTATGACTTACGAATCGTGCCGTATGAACGGGTCAATTCGTGTACCTAATTCTGAGAGCGAACAACATTATTGAAAGTGCATTTTTTCATTCTTTTTATAAAAGCAACAATAATGGGTTTAAGCCTGATCATTTTGCAACAACAAAATACTATGGTATCCCGAAGAAACATGCCGACAGTTCTGTAAGTGATTTGAATGGAACAAAGAACAAAAATCTTTGTTCGCTCAGCAAATTTTATGTGGGGTATCATGGTAGAAAAATTCAGGTAGATGCATCAACGCTTGGAAGCATTGATGTGTCAAAAAATTTTAAATTTCTTTTCAAATATAAGTATATTTTTATATGTTTTCTTATTCGACGTCATTCGGAGGGTATTATAAAAGGCCTTGTTCAACAATTTTTACAAATTTAAATAATTTTTCAGTCAGCATTTACAGTTCCGAAATTCGTGTGACAGTTCATTGGCCCAGCATCTGTGTCGATGCGTCTACCTATATTTTTCTACCATGTGGGGTATTAAGAAGATATTTAATAATTAATGGTCGAACAGCGAATAGAGAATGTATTAAGTGCCATGTGAATTTAGCATAAGTGTCGTTTATCTTTTTGTATAGGTATTTTTTATTGGAACGACATCTTGCGATTCTCATTTTTGAAATTATTTTTATAATTTTTTCAATTGGCAACGCAACGAAATGTGTATTTTGATTGGCAACATTGATTTGTTGCCTGACAGGTTTAATAGATGTCACTCTATTCTTTCCTAACCGCTGCAAAATTTTACAAACTACATTTACAAAAGGTGTATAGTGTACAAGTGCACGAAAAGTTCTAAATAGTACTGAATTTGGTATTGGGTGAATGAATGGAGCTTAAATCCTAAATTTTAACATGAGTGTCACTGTTGCTGCCTGGGTTGGGAGATCACCTGGTTTTGGATATGCGTACTATAGTTGTACTAAAGGGTACTTAATTTGGTAATAGGTGAAATTTAAGTGCTGCAATCCTGAATTATGATACTAAAGTTGATGTTGATATATGATACTAAGGTCGAGGATGATATGTGGAGATTGTTTTGGAAATGTGTACTAGAATTGTTCGAAAAGTACCCAATGGTAATATATTTGTTTTTGGGTGAAGGGATAGAGAGGAAATTCAGATATTTAGTTTACTGATGGTATCTATGTTCGAGATTTGGCGGTGCTGTAGAAATGCGTCCTATATTTGTACGAAAAATACAAAATAGTACTAAATTTAGTATTGGGAGAAGGGATAGGACTGAAATCTTCAAATATAAAATTGAGGTTTCTGTTGGTGTCTGGGATTGAGATATATGGAAGTGATTTTGGAAATGTGTACTATAATTGTACGTAAAGTACTAAATCTGGTATTGGATAAAAGGGTAGAGTTGAGATCTTGGAATTTGATATAGATGTCACTGTTAATGTCTGTAGTTAAGATATTGACGTGGTTTTGGAAATGGGTGCAATAATTGTTCGAAAAGTACTGAATGATACTATATTTGGTTTTAGGTGATGGGGTATCCATGTTTGAGATTTGGCGGCGGTTTGGAAATGCGTCTTGTATTTGTACGAAAAGTACTAAATTGACCTTAATTTAATACTGGATGAAGGGTTAGAGCTGAAACCTTGAAATTTTACATTGCGATAACTGTAAGTGTCTAGGATTGAGATATGGAACGGTTCTGCAAATGACTACTAAAATTATACGAAAAGTACAAAATGTTACTAAATTTGTTATTGAGTTAATGCATCCCGAATTCGATATAGAGGTCTCTGTTGGTATCTGGGTTTGAGATATGGAGGTGTTTTTGGAAATGTTCACTTTAATTGTTAGACAAGTACTAAGTAGAACTATGTTTGGTATAAGGTGACGGGATATAGTTGAAATCCTAAAAAATCCACTCGACCGACAGCTGTTGAAATTATTCCAGTGACAGCTCATTATATTGTTCACAAGCGTACAAAAGCATTTTGGTGAGAATTTTCCAGAAAAAAGTTATTCGTGATGGAATTCAAGCGTGATAGTGTGATTTCTTTATATTTGGCTAGAAAACCACAAGAGGCTATCGTTAGAGCACTCCAGCATTTGAATGTGAATAAGTCTTTTGTGTCTCGTACCATCGCTCGTTTCGGTGATACTGGTAGCGTAGCACGACGTCAAGGAAGTGGACGGAAGAAAACAGCAACATCAGCAGAAATGGTTCGAAAAGTAAAGAAGCGACTTGATCGAAACCCGCGTCGCAGTGGCCGAAAAATGGCTCGTGAGCACAACACATCGCAATATTCCATTCGGCAAATATTGAAAACTGAGCTCGGGGTAAAGCCATAGAAATTCCAAAAAGTGCAAGAACTTACACCGCAAAAGAAAGATAATACACTCAAAAGAGTTGCTTCGCTTGGACGAAAGTGGTGAACTGCCGAATTTATTTTCTCCGATGAAGAAACATTCCTTGTCCAGCAGTGTGTAAACAAACAAAATAATCGTGCTTACTTACCAAAGAGCTCAGCAGAAAATGTGCACCTTCGGTTGGCGACCAGAACTCAAGCGCCGGCCATGGTGATGGTGAGGGCCGACATAACAGCCGATGGTCGCTTTCCGCTCGTATTAATCGAACGTGACATTAGAATAAATGCCGAATATTTTCGCGAAAATATTCTGGAGGGCACGCAAACATTTTGGCCGCAGACATTGGACATTCCAACAGGACTCAGCACCATCGCACTCAGCACGCGCCAACCAAGAATGGTTACAAAATGAGGTTCCTCGCTTCATTTCCAGCACACATTGGCTACCAAAATCTCCGGATACCAATCCGTTGGACTATTGTGTCTGGAGTATTTAGGGAAGCAAATTTGTCTTTTATTTATCACAGATGCTATGGTCTGTTTCAACCACTAAATATTACCCGATGACCATTAAAATTGGAAGGCTTCTGCCCAGCCCAAAGCTCTAGCACCATGCTAAATTTCGCTTCGATTGGTCTATAATTGTGCCCTGCAGAGCAACTGCAAAATCAGGAAATTTTTCAGTTTTTGGTCCATTTCAACCCCTAAATATTATGCGATCATCTCCAAAAGAAATAGGGTTCTATTCCGACCTTAACCCCATCTACATTTTAAATTTCGTGAAGGTCGGGCCATAATTGCGACCTGTAGAGTGATTACAAATTAATATGGACAGACGGACGGACGGACATACATAGCTAGATCGACTCAGCTCGGCGAGATAGGAAGATCCATATATACTTTCCTACGTGGGAAATCAATATGACGTGGTGTTACATAATTTTTGGCCCAATCAAACTTATAATACCCCCAACACAAAGTGTTGTTGGGCATAATTAAAAGCATCTCTGCTCAATATCGCAGGACCTAGGTAGTTTAAGGTGTCTTTGTATGGTCCGTTTGATACTTCCCCCACTGGCTTTCAATTGGAAAAAAATCATTTTCGTCCTTTCCACTTATCGTTGTAGTCGTCGTGTCTATTATTTTGCAAAACATGTTAATTACTTTGGACTAAATCCATTTTAATTAATTGCTTATAAAACGAAAGCCATGCATTAATTACTTTGAAGTGGGCCAAAACCTCAAAGGACTAAATTCGCATTATGCGTTAAAGTGCGTCATCAAATGCAAAATCCGAAATAATCAAAAAACCGACCGACCGCCTTTGTTCAAACGACGACAATGGTCGCAACGCCAGTGAGGCAAGAGGCTTTTTACCCTTTTATCGTTCATGGTAAAATATTGAACGCAAATATTCGTTCGTCAATGAAGAATGAAAGTCAACTTTTGTTTTAGGATCAAAACGCACTTATTGTTTTGTGTTGTTTTTATGTTTTGTGGCTTCAAAAGGATTTAAATTTAAAAGGAAGTAGAGAGCAACACACACACCAACTATCCAATGGATAAAGGGCTTTACTTGATTTGTGGTGTCTCAGTATAGAATACGCATTTTATGAGGTATTTAAAGTAAGGTCTGAATTTGCTATCTAGCAAATCATTTATTTCGGTGACGATGCTAAAATGGATGCTTTAGGATCATAATTATTAGATTCGAAAAGAAAACGTTGTCGAGAAGAATATTTTGTTGAACCGTGATTCAAATTTAGTTCAATTTAGT